CACATTTTAGCAATTACAAATTGTGCTGCTATGAACATAGGTGCACATATATCACTGTGATATGATGTTTTTAGATCTTCTGGGAAAATACCAAGCAGGGGGATAGCTGGGTGAATGGGACTCTAGGCCTAGTTTGCTGAGGAATCTCCAAACTGATTTCCACAGTGGTTTCAGTAGATACAACATTTTAGAGAGATGTGATATCTGTATCATGGAAAGAAAGCTTCACCTGGGACAAGGAGAACAATAATAAAATATAAACTTGATATGTACAGCTCCCTGAGGATCTGGAAAGAACACGAATGCAGATACCACTCACACAAATGTGGTGTAAATACCAGGCAGGAGGTCGGTCTGGCTGAGCACTGGACATCAGAAAGGTGGGCACAGGGAACACGTGGGGACAACACCCCTTAAATCTGCATGGAGTCTGCTTCAGACAACACCCGTCCCAACTTCTTTCTGCTATTTCTTTTTATTTTATTTTATTTTATTTATTTATTTATTTATTTTATTTTAAGAGCAAACGATCAACTTCCTAATTTGTGTCGACCTAACCTTCTAAGAACACCAGTCATCAGTAAACTGCATGAATTAAAGACGTAGTTTCAACGTAATTTTCATAAATAAGTGCATCACCGATCATTATAAGACATTAAAGATGCATAGTTTTGTAAATACCTAGGGATGAGGGGTAACCACTGCTCGCATTTGTTTATTTACACATAACTTGCTTTTCCATTCTTCATGTTGGACATAAGAAACTGACTTTTACACATTTGTGGAATGTGCTGCGATTATCACTCAAGGGAAAGGACTCATCATTTGGTCACAGATCACTGAATATCCTCATTGTCCAACCACGTGAATCGCATAACATGTAGGAGACTTAAACGCTAACCCGGATGGCCTGGGTTTGAAAAGATGTTCTAGCACTTATTATCTGTGTGGTCTGGGGAATTTTTATCTGTTGTGCTTCTGTATTTTAATATGAGAATAAAATTAACTATGATCTCTTTATATGGTTTACACAACATGTTAGATATTTGCTTTTCATTAACACCAGAATGGTAAATATGGTCCTGTTTATGGCCTTAAACCTCACTGTATGTACATTTCAGAATCCAGAGGTGACATTTTTATTATCATTTCTCATTACTAATTAAATCCGTTTTGGAATACAAAGAAGTATTTTTCCCCATGGGACCATTTTTAAACATAATTTTCCATTATCATTGGGGAAAAAAACAACACATTTAGAATAGAAAACCAGGTTAACATTCCCCCACTACCTGAAACACACAATCTCTCTTTCTCTCCCTCCCTCCCTCTCATACACACACACACACACACACACACACACACACACACAGAGTGTGAGCGTATTCCCATCACATTACTTCTCTGGGCATTTGGTTGTCATGAGATAAAAGAGAGCAACTTCATAAACATTGTGTGAGAAGTAGTAGCTCTGTGTGTATGAGTTATCTATACAAATTAAACTTGTAAATATCCCTTTGCTGACAATAAATCACGTCATTTTAGATACATCTGCTCAACTTCCTGTGCACTATCGTCCAGCTGTTATGCTTTCTTCTACAATGCTTGGATCATGTGCACAAGCAAGAAAAAGCCTGTGATGCCCTTGAGATCAAAAGGTCAGACCCCTTCCACCAGTTCCTGTCATAATCTTAATTCCAACCACATAGACATCCCAGCCACTGACTTCCAATCCCATGGACTCAATAAATATATTTGAATGAATGACTAAACCCTGACTTTGCTGGCAACAGGGCAAAAGTCTCTAGCATACAAGGTATATGCTTGTGTTCGGTGCTTCTCAAAAGTTCCAAATGAAGGGCAATTTCCACCTGAGTACTCTCTAGAACATCGGTTCCATAAGGTAGCAAATTGAGAGATCATTTCCACAATATATTTTTCCTAACCAAATACATGTATAACCTTTTAAAACAAATATCCTTTCTCATAGAAAAATCATTAAAAATACACGGTAATGAATTACTCATTATTTAATCATTTCTATTATGTATCATGAATAAGATATGAAAATGGGGAAAGAGCACATTTCAAAATGATCCATCAGGAGAGGGATTATGAAAACGCATAGGTATAAAAATTGCAATATATTACATAAATCCATTGTGGCTATTTCAAAACAGGAAAAATTCTACAAGAGAAGTATTCACTGGTATCTGGGGAGACAGGTCCAGATCTCTATGAGATCTATATAACTGGATGTAGAGGGGCAGGATTATTGGTAATTATCTTGAAAAATAATATAAAGAGGGCCGGGCCTGGTGGCACATATCTATAAACCCAGCACTCAGGAGGCTGAGGCAAGAGAATTGCCATGAGCTCAGGTCCAGCCTGCACTATATAGCAAAACCCTGTCTCAAAAACAAGGGAGTGATTAGAAAGTATAATTTGTTCTTATAGAATATGTGCAGGCCACAGGAGTCTAGGAAAGCTTGGCAAAAATGAGCTTATATCACTTAACTTATTGCACAGCTCAGAAAGAATAACGGAAATTATGAACACGGGTGGGACTGTATCAGTGCTGCAGGGGGCATGTAAGGAAACTTGGAGAAAGTGAAATTAGTTAGGAGAACTCACAGGACCTGCACTGGGGAAAATAAAGAACATCTTCTAGTCCCTCAGGCAGGCAGTTCTGAGTTGAGATGCATGCATTTAACTTCATTTTTAAGAACCTTTTTAGTGTTAGGTACCACTTTTGAACAGAAAGTAATCAGGCGGATAGAGATAGAGAAGATAAATATTAATCTATTATGCATACAAATAAACATGTATGATTTATGGCAGTCAGTCCTATGGAATATGTAAGATAACTGGCAGGGTAATAGATGAAAACACAAGATACAGGTGAAGGGTATTTTCAAAGGAATTCAGCAGAGATACTTTAAGTTTGAGGCATTCTCAGGATGGCGGAGTGGAAGTGTCTTCTGGATCGCATGCAGTAAGGAGCTGTGGGGAACAGATTAGAGCCGAGCTATGGATGAGGAGGTCACCGCATCAGGACAGCAGTTGGATCTATTAGAACAGCGGTGCTCATTCTGACAGAGATGGCCAGAAAGCAAACAAAAAGTACAGCAAACAGAAATATTGAAACTATCACTTAACTGCTAAGTGCTTTGTTTATGAACTTCTTTTTCATGTGCAGTTCTATATTATAAAATTATACGCATTTCTAAAGAGTAAACTTTCCCAATTCAGGACAATTATAGGTTCAGTGCTCAGGAAGAACCTCAGTTTACCAAAAATGCAACAGCATAGAGATCTCTTTTCTTAATGTGGACAGAGAGTTCACAGTTATATTTCATCTCCAGATTATAGAACAGCCTTCTTGTAAAACAACACATATAATAGAAGAATATCTATCAACGCAGATCAGAAATTGTTTGGGATGACATAAAATTATTCTGAAATAACTTGCAATAAAGAAGTCAGATGAGATTCTCAGGAGAATCCTCTGACTGCAAAGACTGCAGACTTTGCTTAATGTGACATCTACATGATGTACTATCTCCTTTTATGAGGAAAGGAAAGTGAATAACCTTTACTTAACAATATTTAAAACATGACCAATTCTTTATATAAAAGCTTTCTATAAAACACAATTAATTCATGGACATCTCAGAGCTTTTTCTGATAAACCAAACTAAGGATTATTTTGATGAATATAACCTAGGATTAGAGTATCACTGGTCCCTTGAGAGTTCACAATAAGAAAGACAGCAGTAAAGTCTGAATAAGTAATTCTCACATATAGTAAAAAATTCTTCACATTAATTTCTATCAACATTGTGAACTCATAGACAATTAAATCATATCATAAAATAACATAACCCAAAGTGACACTCTCTTGTTCTTAATGAGAATGGAAGATGTATGTATTATCCTTTTATATAATTATGAGAAGTGATGAAGTACAAAGATGGCATGCATGGAATACTCTCTTTGATGGTAGCAGTCATGTCACCATAAATTAAACTTTGACAGGCCTGAGAATCCAGAGCAACAAAGTTTACTTCATTGTTAACATTTTTCTGAGTTCACTGAACTTGACTTGTAACATTTTGCTCCATGAGTCATGAGCTTTGTTCTTTTTGCAAAATCTATCATCTATCTATCTATCTATCTATCTATCTATCTACATATACTTAAAAAAAGAATAAAATTGACATCACCTATGCCACAACCAAATAGGTTTGACATCAACATTTATTGTTTCACACGTCTGACATTAAAGAGTACAGATGTAGCTTAACACACTCAGACATGTCCATCTGCAGATCCGCTTACCCGTGGGGACAGAAACGAGGGGCTGTAGTTCTATGTGACAGGAAGCACTGGTGAGGTCCGTCAAACAGCTGAGAGTCAGGTCAGAGCTGGAAGCCTGCTCATGTCTGAAGCCTTCAGAAGATAAAGCATCCAGTTCAAATTTCACAGCAGACATCACAAAACTTTCAAGCAGCTATGTAAAGAAAAGTTCAAACTACTGAAATTTCAGAAAATAATAAGGAAGGTCAACAAGTGACTGAATTATAATCAATAGTAACTCCAGGCTCTTCCATGTTTGTTTTCACTTGGAAATCCAAAGGAAACAGGATCCTAAATTTTCTACATCCACACTTAGACAAGCACCCTCAAGGGTGGGTTTGAAAGTTGTTTTTCTGGAGGCTATCTTGTGCCTGTGAGCAATAGCAGCACTTATCCTGTTTCAGAAAGGCTGCAGTGGAAACTGAATGGCCTAAGTGAAGACACAGGCCAGGCTGCAGAGGAAGCTTTTAGGAAGCGGGACTGGACGCTCTCCCGCACTTTTTTTATTCAAGAAATCCGCGGGGTGGGGCTGATGCCTGCCGGGCAGCCCATCCTAGGAATGGTTCACTGGCAGGAAGTTAACCCTAGATGATGTTTGCTGGCTCAGGGTTGGGAGAATTTACAAGCCTGCTGCTTTTGGAAAGATGATGCTGATTGTGAAGATTAAACACAGTGTTTGCTTTGTTTTGTTTTGGTTGGTGATAGTCAGATAAAATGTCCAGCTAGAGAAGCACAAAAGATTAGAGTTCACAGGAGGAGCAGAGGATCAATAGAAAAACACAATGCCAAACAGGTAGCTGGCAATGAGGCTGGGTTTACTGTATTGTTTGAGAAGTAAAATATCGACTCCCTCTGAGTGGCAGGGCAGAGGCTGTATTTATCACTTTCAAAAATTCAATTTAAAACCTCACCTTTCTTGTCTTCTGTCTCTTAGTTCAGGAATCAACTAATGAGCTCAAGATGATACCAATTGACGGCTTAACAAGTAGTGATTCGGCAAAAGCTGTCTTTGTGTTTACGAGGTTAAACTAGCTGAAGTTCAAACTAGCTCTTTAATAGCCTGTTTCAATCCATGATTTATTCATCATTGTATTTTTTCATTGAAGTGAGTATTTATTGACTGCACTAGATATTAGCTTAGGTCTTGAAATATCTGGGTAGGATTTTGGGAATGGATGTGAACTTTTTTTCTTCTCAGTGAGAAAGGAGACAGTGCCAGACCGGGAATTTTGTTATGATCATAATATTAGATATGGCGGTAGATGGAAGAATGACAATTTTAATGCATTTCTATGATCTTGTCTCAGTATCAATTGAGAAATTAATGTGTATACTTTATATGAAGTTTGTAAATAAGATGCTGTTACAAAAATTATTCTGGACAAAAATTATGTGTCTTATTGTGATCATTCTAATTGAACAAAGAAGTAAACTGATCTCCGTTCCACATGACTTTATAAACCCTTGCTCAAGCAGAGGAATGATTGTCATTCCAAAAGCATGAACAATAAACAAAACAGTCTGGGTAAGATTCACCCCATTGGTTTGGGGTAGGCATAAAAACTTTGACTAAAAGTGCTGATGTGACAAAGTTTCACTGATAACTGTGAACTTTGTAACTGGTTACTTTGATAAGAAGTTGAAAGTAGAGTCAATGTTAGAAGAATAATTGTAGCTAATACATTTATATTCTGTGTAGTTGCTGATCTTGAATCTGCTGTTGCTTTTAAATTGCCTTTCTTTTGAACAAATGGACCGTTTTTCATGACTTTTTCCTCTTATTTCTAATTTCTTATGTTTTTATGCATACATAGTTTTAGTATTTGTGATGTGATTGTCACTTGAGAATTTTAAAGGTTTTTTTTATTCCTCCCCAGCTCAGGGCTATAACTTTAATTCTATATATTGGTTTCATTTATTAAAAATATTATCGTTGACCTACTTAAATTCACCCATGTTTACCCTTTCCTTTGCTCTCCATTTGTTTTTACTCTTCATCTTTTCCAGGGTTTCTTGGAGATTCTTCTATATAAAGCATTTCCCTTGTTAATTTCTCTAATATAGGTATTTGCAGACTTTGACGCTTGCCCAACGTCATGGTTGTAATTGGCAGCTGTGGATACTGGCAGGGAGTGCGCTTCCCAAAATGCTTAATTTGCTGGAAATTTGTTTCCATCAGCAAATGTCTTCTAGGGATAGACAGGATTCAGTGCTTCCTCTGAGTAGAATGGGGGAAACCGTTCAGGGCACACAGTCTCACACCGTCAGACGGCACCATGTCCGGAGACGGGGACGCAAGCACGGGCTGAACTAAGCACAGGTGTGGGCGAGAGGATGCTGTTAATAATGAAACATCCTCAGCACGTGCTAAACCGAGGGCGAAGGCTGGGCTGTCCGCATGGCCCGCCGTGGAAAGTGTGTGGTAGGAAGCTGATCCTTGTGTTATTTCCCACAGTACTTATTACTATGACAAGGCATGTATTTTATAATCTATGTGGTACAAGTGTTTGGACCCTTGGGGCAGATTACATTAGCACCCCATTCTAAGTTTCTATTCATTGTATGCTCTGTAGCATATCACTTATTTTTCTGAACTTCAGTTTTGTCAAAAGTAGCGTTGACTTGTAGGAGTTTACACATTTAACTCCTACAACATATATTACACTTCAACTACATCTTAACAAAAGGAAATTCATTCATCTGTAGTTTGAATTTTATCAGAATCATTAAGATAATTAAAAAATTAAGTAGCAAGTTCAGGTTCTGTGCTCGGTTGCTTGAAGAGAAAGAGGGAAGTATATTAACATAAATATAGGGTACTTTGAACTACTTTGTCTGAGCCTGTCTCAGAGAATCTAATACCCCGATTTCGTGAGAGTCTCTGAGAATTCTTGTTCACTGTGAGTCTAAAACTATTATTTCCAAAATTTTATTAAAGAATATGTTGTGTTAAAATTACTCCACAGTGGAGATGACAATGTCTTTAGTGATAAATTGGAGCAAGATTGTAGGTTTGGGGAGCATCAGCCAGTGCTGGTTTTCTCCTTGTGAATCTCAGAGCAACAGGGAAGCCACGCTCCTTCCATGCAAGTACTAACCAGGCCCCACCCTCCTCAGCTTCGGCCATCAGATGAGATTGGGCGCGTTTAGGGTGGTATGGTCATAGATAAAGCCACCCTCCTGTGTGTTAAAAAGTCACTGAAACCCCAAGGAAAGGCCCAGAGCTGTTTTTTTTGGCGGTTTTGAAGGAGATACTACAGCAATCTCTTTTCTTCTGAAAGAAAATGTTTGCTTGTTTTTTTATTTTGTTCTTGACTATTTTATTTCCTTTTTAATATTTACTTATGGATTTCTTCAGACTCTTATTTTTCAAAAATTTATTTTCTGCATCATCTAAGTGCATCGTGCAAGTGTACAGCATGGTATGCCAGAGGGATGGACTGATGTTTACAACACCAGAATATATTCTTGGAACATAACTCCAATTATTTTGGATTATTTATCTTTGAATATTATGCGTTTTACATTTATTTCAGCTGACGTTTTTTCATTCAATTACATCAGCTAGTAGAAATTAGCTAATTTACCTAAACCTCTTCAATGAGGTACAGAAAACAAGAAAGTAAGGCAAACCCTAACTTGAATCCTGAGATGTTTAGGTATACTTACAGCCTGAAAAACTTCAATGAGAGGATTAAAATAAATCTTTTGTGCCTGGTATCTAACTTTAAGTTTATTGAATATTATTTTTTCTTACCAGAGATTTTGGTCCTGAGGCTATCAGTTAGTCATTTAAACCATTGCACATATAATTTTATACAGTATTTTACCTGTAATAGATGCACGCACTGAATTAAGATTGATCAAAAAACTATAGACAATAAAAACTGTTTATACATCCAAGGACATTTATATAACTTCAACAACTCCTGGTGGAACAAAAAGTGTTCTTACCACTCTGTAAGTGATGTACATTCTCAAGATGGGATTTGCATCCAAACTTCCTTAAATGAGCTTGCTGAACTTAATTTAAAAAAGAAAAAAACCATAAACCAATGGATATCTAACAGCTTGATTTGAAGTTGGAAATACTCAACTTACCTAAGTGACATTAGAAATAATGCAAAATTTATTTATTTGAATGCACTAACTGCATGTTCTATCAGGGAAAAATGATAGCCACAAAATCCTTTTTTTCAGACCCCCCTCTGCAATTAGCAGTTTCCATGGTTGTAGCTTCAACCAAAGGTGCATTCTAGCAATGGGAGAACAATGATCACAGAAACGAGGTTCAGTGCCAAGCAATTTGACACTTAAAAGAAAATCCCAGCTCATTATCTTGATTACTTTTTACAAGAACATAAATGCTTAATAAAATAAATTTTCAAGGATAAAATTAAAAGGGAACGAGCATTTTCAGGAAATAGGCTAAAAGTAACTGACTACCTGTGGAGCCAATATGTCATTTCATGCTGTAGAAACCTTAGAATTCTGACTCAGCCTTGGGATTCACATTATCACAGATGGACATGCCTGCTATGTTTCCCAGATTCAAGAAAATAAACATTATGTTCTAATGGAAAAATTGCATTGCATATCTCAGTAGAGTTCCTAAGATAGTTGAAAGTAGATTAGCAAAACAAACAGGGCTTTGGTGGTAATAATGAAGAATTATCTTCATAAAGCTACAAACTTGTCTTAATGGATACCTTACACTAAACTATGTGGTCATGCTGTAGAATAATAGCTCAAAACAGAGACAAAAACCTTTACTTTTGTATTTTTATTCAAAACAAAGAAAAAAAGAGAACACTGTAAAGCAAAAACTGCAAGAAATCTAGTCATATAAACCAGGTTGTAATCTTGTGCTCAATATTAGAACTTCAAACATCTGTAAGATTTATTTGGAGCTGTTACTTTTTGAACTTAGGAGTCCTGATATCCTCAGTGCTACTACTCCATCCGGGTGGAATGGCTTAGAAAGGAAGTGACACAATATGCTCAAAGCTGCTGGCGTAGTATCTGGCTAACGGCTCCTAACTCTGCACATTTCTGGCCATTGAGCACCTGCAGTATGCTAGCTATTACTGTAGAGAGAAATCAGCACAAATAATTTGCTGATAGCAAACTGCTGAGGGAAGAACGCAGATGCTGTGGGCAGAGGGCCAGGCCAGGCTCATTTTGTGCGCTTACTTACATTTGGCAATTGACGGGGCCTTCTGGGCTTAGGTTTCTTCTTCCATAATGCGGGAGTTACTTTGAGAACTAAGTCTGTTTAACATTAAAGTGCTAGAAATAGTAGACTCTAAAACAATGTTATTTTAAAAAATAAGAATACAGAACATAGTTGCTTCTTCTAATGTAATATTTCCCCAAATTGTGGTTCAATCAGAATTCTTGGATTTAACAATTTCTAAATGTATCTTACTTGTACAACACTTGTCG